GAAGGAGACATGGGCGGTGGAAACCGTCGGTGTCATACACAAATAGACACAGGTGCAACTCAGAAAAGCCCCAAAGCACATCCGCACATTTTGGCGCATAGGGAATTGGGGGCGCATAGTTTTAGCATCAATACCCAAGATATCTCGTCTCTCACATCAGCCTCAAAGATAGCAGACTGTGTTGTTTCATGTGCTCCTGCCAGACCCCGGTATGATCGACGCGATGACGTTTCGTGTGGCTTGACGCCGCGACATGCATGCGCGTTCCCGGCCCCAGTCCCTCATTGACTGATTGCCTCACTTGCGTAACCTTCCACATTCCCCCAAGACCCCCATGTGTCAACGTATCCATACCGCGCCGCGTAATCAATGGGTATCCGCACCTCGCCCATAACCAGGACAAACTGGCAATAGCCACCAGCCACACATTAGCTGCCGAATAACAAGACCGCCTATCCGATGATCCCGACTCTGCAAGACGACTGCGATGAGTGCATGCCCGACTATGCCCTGCACCGCAGCCCGATAACGGTCGCCATATCGGCGCTTCCCTTTATCGTCACCTTCCTCGTTGCTTCAGTGGCGGCGCAGAAGCTGTTCCCTGTCTTGTCAGGCAATGCGGATCGCAAAGCGCACCATGACGGCGCGCGATTGCCTGGGGTACCACAGCGCGAACGCCCCTCCATACTGAGCAGTCTACGCCCGAATGCGCGATCGCTCGCCAGCATTCTCTTCTCGACCAACTTCGCCCTTTCCGCCGTACTCGCCGAACTCATCCTCTGCGAAATCTCCAACACCGTCAATCGCGCCACACGAACGTTAGCGCTCAAGATCACCCTTCCTTCGCTGCTCTTCCTGCTTGTCGTCGCGACACCGGCGATTGAAATTCACTCGATCATATCGGGGACTGGGCTAAATATCGGTGGAGAACAGAAGAGTCGGCGACGAGCAGCATGGGTGTTGGAGCTGTGTGGGCTGGCGACATGGCTGGCAGGGTTTTGGTATCTTGGCCGTGGGCTGCTGGGCTCGTATTTGCATGAGGAGTCGTATGAACATGATCATACTTTCAGTGAAGGCTGTTTGGAGAGGATAGGCATTATTGGCATCAGCTTGATGGCTTCGCTAGCTGGGTTTGCTGCTATATCCGCGCTTTGGCATACATTTGGCGTTAAGTATCGTCCGGTAAGCTCATCGTCTCCCAGGGATATGAGTATTTGCCAGGTATACTAATTCTTCCTAGGTCACCGAATCAGACATCGGTCGCAAGCAGGCTGGCATACAGGCTACAAACGACATGCTCCTAACGAAGGAGAGCCGACTCCGTGCGGTCGAACGGAAACTTGCGGACAACCCTCAACAAGGCTTCATGGGCCGCGTAGTAGGATCGATTCGTGGAAATCCCGACATCCAGGAGCGGAACACTTTGCAGCTCGAAATACAAGGTCTCGAGACTATGCGCCATACACTCCAGAACTCCCTGACAGTTCTCCAAAACCGTCGGCAGAACCAACTGCGATCGCATACCGCAAATGGAAGGCTTTTCAACATCGTCTCATACGTCTTCGCCGTATATTGCGCATATCGCATCATCGCCACCACAGTCACAACTCTCCGCCGCTTCTCCTCACCAAACGCCAGCTTCGCAAGCAGCGACCCCATTAACAATGTCCTCGCCCTCCTAGCAAAACACTGGGACCCAACCATCGACCGCGTCGCCTGGAGCCGCACAATCTCCTTCCTTCTCTCCGGCGTCATGCTCCTCCTCTCTTTCAACAGCGTCCTGCAAACCTTCTACCTCTTCGCCCGCGTCGTCCCCGGTCTCCTCCACCACGCACGCACGAACTTCGCTCTCATCATTTCGCAGATCGCAGCGACTTATGTCATCAGCTCTGCACTGCTTCTTCGGAGTAACCTGCCGCCTGAGATGAAGAGCAAGATTGGTGATGCGTTGGGGGCGCCGCTTGAACCGGGGTTCACGGAGAGGTGGTTTGAGGGTTGGTTTTTGGCGGCGAGTGCGGCGACGGTGTTGGGACTTTGGGCGGGGAAGAGGTTGAAGGGTGGGGAGTGGGATGATGATTGTGAGGGGGGTGAGGGGGATGTTGAGATGGGGAAGAGGAGTACGTAGATGGATGTAGGGTTATGTTATGTATGCATTGATCACTGTCACCATATATCCCTCGTGAAAGTGCATCACCGTATACAGCCCATACATCATGTCGCTGAGACGTCTTACGTTGATAATCTTAACCATGACACGAAGCGTTATACAAGCTGGCTTTTGAACTTCTAATGTACATTGCAACTCATGACCGCAGAAAAGTAAGGGCCTGTAAGATTCCGGATTCTATTCGTTCAAAAGTGTGTATACATCACTCCAAACATCGTGTCATTCAATCAATAATACACCACAACGTTATAGTTAGCGAGAAGAAAGACAAGAAGTCCGGAATGCATACTGCAAGTACTTTGATAGTTCTGGATTCGTATCAAAGGTGTCGCTGTAGAGTGTCCAGCTTTCGTGTTGACGCGAGAGCTTGCTTAGGCATAGACCATAGTCTCTCATCAAGAATAAAAGGACCGATAAGAATTCCGATACAAGACCTGCATCTACAATCCACATCTTCGGCGCGTCCACCGATATCTGCGGACTAGCTCGGCGAATACCATCACCACTCAGCATCACAAAGAGACAGCGCCCAACGCGTTGAGTGATAGATAGCCACCGGGTATCGCTACATGAACGCCTGAGCCGCCCACCCGCGCTTGCTAAGCATGCATCACCTCTGGACCCGCAATAACGCGCCATGCGCGACTCGACCCGTTTGCTGGCACCGGCCATCTTTTGATTGAAGGTTGACGTCGATGTTGCCCGATGCAGGCGCGTTCGCGTTGTGACGTCAGGCCTGGTGGGGCAGGTGGTTCGCCCATGAAAACACATAGAGGGGGCCTTTCTCGAGACATCTTCATACACACCACTTCTCACAAGCTCTATTCTACAGGTATGTTTGATGGATGAGAGAGGGTTTGATGGGGCGTTGGCTAATTGACGAACAGACTACTAAGAAACCTACAAACCTGTACGTTGTACCTGAGCGGGTGATGGGAGAGGGAGCTGGCGACACGAGCTCCACGGCAGCGAGCGAGCACTCACTCAGCCATCGCACCACCTCCCTCCCTACCCATCCACTCCCCCAACATCCTCCCGCTCCTCACTAACACACCTGCCAGACATCCCAACCAACTCCAAACACAACCCCCCAAACCACAACCATGTCCGCCCCCAACGCCGGCCGCCAGTCCCCCGAGCCCGAGCGCCAATCCGGCGCGCAAGCCGGCCAGACGTCCGACAACGTCAACAGCCAAGGCGCAGGACCCAAGGAGGGTGCCGAGAAGGCGAGCGACAACACCAAGGACAGCCTGAGCAGCAACCCCCAGCACACGCTCGAGAAGCATGCTGAGGACACTACGAGCAAGAAGGTTTAAACAGGGCTTGGGTCAGGAGAAGTAGCGAAACGGACGTAGGACCTATGAGATACTGAGGCAGTCTGAGGATGAAATGAAATGAAATGAATACATGAACGATTATTGTCATGATATGATGTATTTGGATGTATCTGTGATTATGCTTCTACTCTGATCACGTGTGTGATGTCTGCCGATGAACTCTTTGTAGCAAAGATGTAGATTGGCTGCATTTCTCAAAGCCCACCTGCTTCTCTGACGCGCTGTTCTCTGCTTCCACGCTCGAACAGGATGCATAACTATGGAGTCGACATCTATATCATTGTGTTCATACGATGACTTTATCTCTGGAGTTGGCGACTTCACGTACTCTTCTAGAGAGAACTTGCGATGAATAATCGTGAGTGAAGCCTCCACGTTCCGCAGCCATTAGTCGCCAATTGCCCCGCCATACTAGCCTCACCTGCCGCGGTTCTCGTGATGCGACCCCGCCAACTGGCCACAACATCTTCCATCCTGAGAATCGCGATATCCCGCCGCTCCCCGCTCCCATCGCAGCATTTCCCAAGTACTAGGACGATAAATTCCAGCACTTTGCCATCAACACACAAACTCGGGCGCTTGGGTAAGCTTCACCGCACAACCACTCCGCCTCTGCATTTAAACTAACAGCCCTCAGTCTAGGGGTATGATTTGTAAGACACCACCAACAAACATCAAGATGTTGGAATATGACACTAACATCATCAAAGTCGCTTCGCATTATCAAATGTGCGTGCTTGTGAAAGGTCGTGGGTTCAATTCCCACAGCGTCCAGTACCTTCTTTTTTGCTGATTTTTGGTCATGGGATGGGGTATCAGGGGAAGGGAGGGAGGTGCGGAGTGAGAGATGTCGCTGACTGCACTTTTATTCCCTGATTCATTTTGCTGCTCCGCAACGACTCCAGCAGCGTTGTCTCCAAGGAACCTAGAGTTCTTGCGCATTGCAGTGATCACATCGTTCTAACTCTAGGCATACACACATTTCTAACATCGAAACGGCGTCTTACATACATATTTTCATACTGTGGCAGGCAATGCCAGCGTTATTCCAGTCTCTTTTCAACCCCAGGCACCAAAGAAGACATTCCACCCGCGAGTCACCCACTCTTCGGAAGTGATACCCACTGACTCTAGGCTGGGATTACTCCATGATTCCAACGGAGACGGCGGGCCGTCGCGCGATTTGCTATCAAGCTCCCGTCCTTCATCCGGCTCGGGCTCACACTGATGCGATTGAAGTAGCCGCCCGATGATGCGGTCATGGCGAGTTCGTAATAAAATATCCAATCTCTTGGGTAGATTATCCTGCAGGGACTTTAATCGAAGCTGTATCTGTAGGAACCAGCTTTCCATGAGATTCCTAGTAATCGCAACATGCTCGCAGATTTGATTTGCGAGATGGGTTGATTTCTTGCGCAAAAGCGACCATGTGCCTTCTTCACTGTTGCAAAGATCGGGGAACCTATCGGTCACCGATGTGTTCGCTGGCGGCGAGATTACTTGCACGTCTCTAGGAAGACTATGATCTTGGCCTTGCAAGTGTCAGCCAGATATCGCATCTTTCATCGACAACCATACCTCCATAGTCACGGTAGCCACTCCTTGCAAACTCCCGATCGAGTTTCTCCTTCGACTGTTCAACACCGTTGATCAAGACAGCACTGTCCTTTCCCTGGCGACGCCTCTCTTCCACCACGCGATTGATGAGACGCCATTCGTCTCTTGTGCGGTTCTTTCGTATGCCCCATATCTTGAGTTGGCGTTCGTATTGCGATTCGCTCGAGGCGCATTAGCTCGGCTCTGTATAGTGCAGTGCGTAATACTTCAGCTACTAACCTTGCATGGAGGCCATATGTTTTCATGGTCTCAGCGACCTTGCTCAGGGCCTTGCCTTGGTCTACGAACAACATCTTGATCCTGCATCGGTGTTGCTCCCACGTACTAGGCGATATCCGTGGCGCATAGGATTTGGCGTCTTTAGGCATTCCGGGAAAGCGATCAGAATATGGTAAGAATCGAGAGCTAAAGAAAAGTTGACCGAAACACTGAAGAGAGAAGGCTACACCTGTTAGCATAAATGTATTTCAGCGTTCCTGCTCACGAACTAATCAAACAAAACCTGGAATGCATCACCACGTAGGCGATACCGCTTTGAGAGTCTGCATATCATCCGCCAATCAGCAAAACCTGGAATTCGCAGTGGACTCGCGAGATCATGCAGGGGTCAGCAGCACACCCGTCGCCGGTGAAGACTCGACGAGGCGGTGCAAACAACCCGCGGCACAACCACCAATAAGGCAGAACCTGAATGTAGGCACAGTGGGTAGTCCCTGCCGTCTTGGGGACTGACCGTCACGAAGTGTACCGTGGTGTCAGCGTGCAGACCCAGTCTGTAGGTTGAGACCCGTGGACTGCATGCGCGCTCATAGCCAAGTGAAAACATGGAGTCATCGACGTAGAGGCTGAGAGGAGCTATCGGGCAAGGCTACCCGGGTGTCCCTGCGCGATCACGTGTACTGACGAAAACCTTTGGAAGCCATCCTCTTCTAGACACTTTCAGAACATGACTACGCGTGGCTACAACGCAGGTACGAATGGCAAGAATACCCGTCCACGTGATGAAGATGCAGGTATGCGTTGTTATGGGGCAGGTAAACATGCAAGTATGCACGATCACGTGTAGTTCCAATGTGATGCTATATCACAGGCCAATCACAGAAGGCGCCTGGTGAGCGGCGGCAGCTAGGGTGCTTAAAACGATCAATACAGCGGATCGTTGAGTCGGAACATATTAGCTACCGGGTGTGGACTGTGACGATTACCCTGAGTGTGGCTGAGTGGGGCACGTCAAACCACCAGCAGCCCTCTTTCGTTGCCCAGATGGGTGCTGTATGTAGGGGTGGGAGCGAGCATGTAGGGGTAGGAGCGAGCATGTAGGGGTAGGAGCGAGCATGTAGGGGTAGGAGCGAGCGTGTAGGGGTAGGAGCTTGCATGTAGGAGCGGGAGCGAGCCAATGGATTAGGGTAAAGTTGCTGCGACCAGCGCTCGGGGCAGCAATATGCTCTCTCGGTATTGCTTCCTGAGACGCCCCGAGTGCGACTGGCCAATGATAAGCCGTTGCTCGTGAAGAGTTGCCCAAACACCCCTCGTTCAGGGTGATCGGGGCATACGAGTTCTACGATGAATATCGGTCAGCATATTTTATCTAAAGCGCCTTGCCATGTTTCTCGAAAATTGCAACTTGAGCATAACGAAGCTTTCACACACGATTACATCCCTCATTTACAACATTTGTTGCGACTATCTTACCAAGCACAGGCCATACGTACTGGTCAGTTCCTGTCGCTCAGCCAATCAGGACCGCCATGTCTACCATATCCAACGAATCTATCATCGCTGTCGTCAGTCTGATTGCAACATGTCCGCCATCCTTAGTTCTTATCTGGCACCTGCTCAGGCGTAAAGGTCGCGTCCAAAGAGACTTCAATGGTTTGTTGACATGTGTTAACGATCACTACGTATCGCTGACAATTTCCTAGATGATGAGCTCTTCCATCCAGCTATCGATCGCAAGATCATCAAGCACGTCGACGATACTTTACTCAAACCCACTCCTACTTACCTCTCTCGACGATAACCATCACTCACCTCGCCGACATGAACTCGAGAATGATCCCATAAAGCTCTTCTCCGCCTTACGGTCAAAGCTCTACTTCTCTTATGCAAGGCATTAGAGACCAGCAAAAGCCTGAAAAGCAGTGGCGCCGAGCATGTCGAAGGACCGGAGGCAGTGTGAGGAGTCTTAGCTTAGAAGAGATGTTGTTGACGATGACGAAGAAGAGCGACGTATGATTGAGAACCATAGTAACAATGCCATCAGGCCGTTTACGATACATTCCAGTCTCTGTGAGCCTTTCGAATCATAGGATGACGCTCATTCGCTATGACCAGGCGATGTTCGCGATGCAATCTGATTGATTCCAACCTCGGAACTGCTTAGGACAGTGCGATCGCGTCACATGCGCCGGCAGCGGCAGTGGACGTCGATGCTGTACATGAGTCTGCGGCCGAAGTGCGCATGTTAATGGTGGACTAATTCCGATCAAAATACTGCAATTTGGACGCCGTTCAGCGTTGTTGTGATAGTAGGGTCGAGAGGGAAAGTGGTTGCGATGTGGGCCTGTTGACGACTGGCGCTGCACGGGTCGCTTCGGACATCTCAGCCTCGGCTCCACTTGCCTACCTGACATCTGGCGGCGTCCGTCGCGAATTCGAGCTGATAATTCACGAGCCTTCCTTTGCCTGTCTGCTCAGGTCAAGGATTCAAACGCATGGGGGAGACGTGGGCTGCACCTCCCTGCGTCATGAAAGAATGCAAGACGCAAAGGATTGGACGCGCCACTGCAGCGCCCTGCCACAAAAGACCGCAAGATGAGGGGGACGCAATGCGCAATCATCGAGCCGACCACTGCACCGCCATGCGTCCTAGACGAGCACGGAAGAACGCCCAGCGGACTTCTGGCGGATGCGGGTCTGCGCGCTCGTCCCGTCACTTTTAGCACTAGCACGAGCCTCCACGCTACTTACCCTCCACCAATCTAGTCCGCGGTGCAGATCTCTGCGATGCGTCCCTGTCGACGCTGAGTCTTATGGGTGTATCAACGCCGTGCAGATGCCCACGGTCGCTAGAACATATATCGGGCTAAGCCCGCTGCTTCTGAAACGTAGGTTCGAATGGAGAGTAGGGAACGGCCGGGAGGCCGCCCGTTCCTCATAGGCTCGCATCTTGCTAGAATCCAAGGTTGAGATCATTTCGCGCCTCGCAAGAAGGTAAACGACGACGGAGCTCAGCACGCATCCCAATACTTCAGGCAAGATGGACTGGGAGCTTATACACGTGTTAGACTGCTCAGCACACGTTTATAACATGCCAGCCCGCTGTCTCCTGTGGTTTTCTCCAGCCGCCAGGACGTATCTCAAGCAGCATATACAACGGCGTCGATCTCGTGCATCGATCGTGTCTATTCACATCGTCCGACCGCAACTTATATCTCATTCTTCGCATCCTCGCACGTGTAATAGAACATGTCGTCCTGGTCCAACGGGGACATAATCGCCATCGTTACCCTCATCACAACATGTCCTCCTTCGGTTGCACTGCTATGTCATTGGATCAAGCGATCTCGTCTTGAAAATAAAGGCGGTCAAACTGGTATGTACATATGACTGTAGTCTTGCAGTATATGATCCCGGCTGAACCACTCTAGATGCCGAGTTCGCCAGCAACCCAGCTCGGCCAAGCATCGGTGATCTCGTCGAGTGCCAGGTCGACTTCCTTGTACCTCGGCCTGGTCTTGCTCATGTACCTAAACGCCATTCGTTGATCTCTATTAGGTCATCAGAATGAAGCATGACTTCGTAAGTATCCCGGCCAGACTTGATGGTAGCTGTCTAATGATCGTAAATAGAGCACAACACTACTCGAGACTAAGACCCGGGCGGTTGGCTACCCTTAATCGCGAAGCGACGCAAGACAGCACAACGAATCGATTCTTACGAGCGAAGGTACATCGATACGGTGTCTTCCATTGAGACCGACTGCTCCCAGCGTTCGAGTCATTCGATGCGAGCCAACGGGTGTTGATACGAAAGAGGCGAACATTATAGAGAGGATTCAAGCCCCTGATTGAGGCATGTATGGGTAGACGCACGATAACAATCAAAATAGTCGTTTCCATTGCGTTCCTATTGATATCCTGATCAGTTAGTTCTTTAACATCCTTTGATTTTATTAACCTCTAGGAGCTCGCGAAGGGTTGATAGTACTTTGAGTGTATTCGAGAAGACCTGCTGATTGATTGATTGATTGATTGATATTGGTTTTACGCCTATATGTAACCTCCCAGGGGGCATTCCGGCGGGCACCGCCGAGGAGTTACAGTGCTGCCACACTGCCTCGTGGGCCTATTCAGGGTGAATTAAGTACATGTCGAAGGGAAGAGGAAGGCCTCCGGGTACCTCTCAAAAAGAAGACCTGCTGCGAGACTGAAATGATGAATTATGGCATTTGACACGCAGGGGTTGATACAATTCGACATAGTTGATTGCCTAGACATACTAGATCGTGACTTAACCTTTGTTGATTTATCCTATATACTACTAGTAACGATACTGCCTAGTGTATCCCTGCCTCCTAGCTGCTTACGATAGTGCGGCAGTTCTAACCGAAGACTAGTGAGCGTGCATATCGCACTGTAAACTTCCTTCTGTTCCCGAACCGTGATAATTAAGGTAAACGGAAATGAATAACATGTCCTGAATCTAATATCGTCTAGCGTTGTTATAATAGACATTTAAACTTGTAGAATATACAAGTAGTAATTCTAGCACTATAGGTAGCCCCGTTCTTAATGTATTAATATAATTCTAGTTTTATTTACTAAGGCGCTAGTCTAGAAGTAGATTTTTTCTTTCTATTACGCTACCTATCTATATAAATAGTAAATATTATAAAGCTATAAAATTAACCTATAACACTAGCTCTAACTACTTTAACTATCCTAAACTAGTTATATACTAAACCTAGTAAGTAGTATATTTACTAGGCTTACTTTCTACTACTATACTCTTTTTAAGAACTTTCTCTTAGAATCTATTAGCTACTACCTAGTAGTAAGTTAGAGAAGTAGCGCCTTAATTATAGCTACTTCTTACGTATAAAAGTAGAGATAACTTAGTACTATAATATTAAAAACTCTACTTTAAAGTATAAACTAATTATATACTATTATTAAGCTACTTAAATATATATAAAATTATTCTAGCTACCTTTATATTTTAATAGAGTAGCTACGCTTCTTTTATCTTTAATTTTTTAAGTATTACTTTAAAGAAAGTAAGTAGATAGTAGAAGATCTTATACTATAGTAAAAAATTAAGATATAGATATAAGAATAATACTATAAAAGCGTTAGAGAAGCTAAGAGATTAATAGATAATAAGCTAGGCGTTTATTATTATAATAATCTAGTTATTTATTATTATAATAGAAAGTTTAAGAAGAAGTAGTAAAAGACGCGTATTTTATAAACTTACTAGTTAAGCTTTAACTCTAGTTTTGTAGTATAAGCTATTATAAAACTTATTATACTAACTTATTATAATAACTTATTACGCATTTATTATAGAGTTATTTTTAGCTACTATAAGTGTGTATAGAGATAACTACTTTAGATAAACTTAGTAAACTACTATTACTAAATATCTTCTTCTCTTAATGTATACAACTAAAGTACGTAAAAAGACCCCTTAGGCTCGAGCGCGAAAGACAGAGAATACAGAGGTGGCCTCGTCGATAGATGCGCAAGTGCCCGTGTGGGGCGGGCCGCTTCGGCGATCCCCGCTCCACATCTGTCAGCGTACTTGCCACGACCCCAAAACGTTGGCCAATGTGCCTGGTGTTTTCTCGAGCTTACAACCTAGTATGATAGCGGATAAATGACGCAAAAGTAAACAACGAGATGGCAGCCGGGTCGTACGGCTACGTGAAAATACGCGCAACATCACGTTGCACGCGAGGGCACATGCTCTAGAGAGGTTAGTACTCGAGCCATGTCGTGTGAAAACACACCTTCCACTAATTCAATAGTGAACCGGGGGATAGGAGACATGGTTGTCGATATCACGACCGCAAGCTTCCAAGGCTGATTGCTCGACTCAGTAATTTATCGATGTGTCGGGGATTTCTGCACCGCCTTGCCCGGACGGCGAGACAAGTAGCGAGTAACGCTCTTTCAACAGGACTATCATGAGAGTTGGAGCAATAAAGAGCTGGGTCATGAAATGTCCTCGTGTCTAAGTACGTAGCCAACCCCGCTACGCTAACCTGAACATGCGACTGATACTAGTTAGACCGTGTCCCTCGCATTCGGAGTAAGCTGCATGTGCTGACGATGTGGCGCTATCTCTGCAGAGATGCCATGTCTTATCGACCCCGCACACTAGGTCTTTACCTCTGATTACCGGCAAGCAAAGTTACTGCACCAACTTTATCTCAGGCAACTAAGAAGTCACTCAAGGAATCGAGAACAACACCTGGTCCTCCATTACATCAGCGCAGAGCTGGAAAGTACGGCTCTATGGCCCACCTTGACACAGACTCTACAACTTCAGAGGAGGAGGAAGACGACGAGGAAGCCTTCATATTCAAAATTCTCTACAGCTGTTCGAGAATAAGCAGCTTCGAAAAAACGCCACAGAAATTCGTGCCTATCGATGCAATCGACAGGGTGTTTGCCTACGGGGCTCAGGGAATGAACGTCTCCCCTGATCCACGCCAACGAGTTTTAAAGCTACTCGGTAAAGATTCCAATGCGGAAGAGGAGGGATCGTTGCTGGATTTCATCGTAACCCGGGCTAAGAAACTGTTTATCATATGCATACGGACCCATCAGTTCAAGATTCATACCAAGATGACGATGTTCATGGAACAGAACTTTGATGATGGCCAATTACCGATCAAGAGCGTCAGGTCGACCAAGCCCGCAGATACCCCGGATGACCATCCCTTCTCCATCATGAACAAAGCGTATGCCAAAGGAAAACGTAGACGTTTGTGGAAGATGATGGACATTGACGACTTCTTGGACTATCAGTGGATGTTCCTGGCGCCCATTATCTCGACGACCGCACTGCTACAAGATTTCGGGCAGCGCACGATGCCATTCATCTCCAGTGAAACACCACCTTCCTTCCGGGGTACCTTCAGCATAGTGACTAGATACGAAGTGCATCATGCCCACATCGATAATGCGCACGAGGTATTTGTTGCAAACATACTTCACCAATCGCGAATCGCTAATGACTATAGTAGACACCACCTTCTAGTCGCATAATCGCAGTCAAAGAATTTAAGAAGAGCCAAGAAGACACCACAAGTCAGTGGGAAAATGAAGTCAGAGTCCTTGAGAAGATAAGGTTTTTTCGCCACGACCATATAGTTCGCTTTATCACGGCTTTTCGACGTGGCGAAGGACAAAATCTGGATCATTACATCTGCTTCGAGTGGGCTAGTGGCGGCAATCTTGCTGACTTTTGGGAGGCAGACCCACAACCGAGATTGTCAGCACCTCTGCTTCAGGCCATCATCATACAACTTCACGGTCTTGCACAAGCTTTGGAAACAATTCACTACTTCAAGGGTTCAGATGGCATGAGCTCTGGAGAGTCGCTCATACATGGTGATATCAAACCGAGAAATATCCTGTGGTTCAAAGGCAACGGAGAGATAGGTACCCTGAAGCTCGCTGATTGGGGCGAGGCAAAGGCGTACGGTTCTGATGCAGATCGTAAGGCAAACACGGCAACACGTAACAATACGACAGGAAAGTTTGGCACTCGTCGGTACGAGCCACCGGAGGTGGAGACCGGTATGTCCATCCAGGATTCTGGCACGACAAAGACTGGTCGTTCACGACTATACGACACCTGGTCTTTCGGATGCTTCACCCTCGAATTCATCATCTGGATTCTTCACGGAACAGAGGGGCTCAAATTGTTTCGTATCGACAATGTGGGAGACTATAGCTTGTCGGACTCATTCTATGAGATCAACCAAAAGAGGCTGGCTAAGGTGCATGGCGTTGTGAGCCACTGGATGGATCACCTTGAAAGAGATGCCATTTGTCAGAGCGGAGCCTCTGCACTCGGTGATCTTCTGGACATCGTCCGGAATGGGCTTCTCGTTGTTGCCCTTCCCGAAGGCGGTGGGAGTATTCAAAGCCAGGTCACAACGTATCCGCGATTCAAACTTCTGGACCTTGAGCAGGCCAAGAGAACAGACACTGAGCCAGTGATGGATGAATCGTCCATAGTTGGACATGCACCAGACGCTGAGGACGGACCGCTGATCCACATCACCATTGCTTCAAAGGATGAGGAAACGGCTGATGGGGCCAAGTACAGTACTGTACTTCGGAGAAAGCAGCGGAAAGACTCCGCCTTATCAGCAGTCGATCTAGAGCGTTTCCGCGCCGTTGAGCTCGTCGAGAATCTGGGTCGCATAGCCCGAAGGGAACAATCTGACAGTTACTGGTACCAGGACCTCCCACGCTGCCCCATACCCCCAAAGTTTAGGGACAGAATCTCCCAGATATCGAGTAAGATACCACCCGGAATGAGAGGGAACTATGACTTGCCGTATCTTGACCCAGAGGACTGGCAGCTACGTTCAGACAACGACTTCGCTGCGGAAATGTTCGAACGACTCACCAATGCTGGCGTATTAGGCCCATCATCCCCGATCAAAGTCACCGAACACCTGTGCAAGAAATGTCAAGAATTCCGGCGAGACCTTTGGAGCCCATTCTTCACTATCATCTATGAAACAAACGTACTTCACCAGAATTCAGTGTCGCATAGCTGTGATCTGTGTGCTCTATTATGGCAGGTCTGTCAGGATTACGCTAGCTCAGCACACTCTAGCGTCAGCTTTGAGCGACGGGATTCCACGTTGAGGATGAGTAACGGACGACTTCCGGTTCTGTCGCTGTTTCGTGATCACGGTAAGTGGGTGTTACTGCACGGATTAGACATAGCTGACACAGTATTACTAGACGCCCAAAGTGTTGTTAACGATATTCAGACAGGTTTCAGTGAGCTGTCAGACGCTGGAAGCGCCCTTCATCTAGAGATCTTACGTTGCTGGCTTGACCACTGCGACCACAAACATTGGAAGGACCCCAAATGCAAACCTTCGAGGTTCAAGAAATCTGCAGCAGGCTCTATCATCAAGCTTCCAACTCGTCTGATTGACGTCGGTACCGCTGATAATAGCTGCGTGAGACTGCAAGATATGAAAGACTTTGATGGTGATTGGATTGCCTTGTCTTACCAATGGGGGACGCCACCTTACTTCTCAACAACGCGGCATAACATGCGCGATATGTATGCTGGTGTAGAGGTTGACACGCTACCACAAACCTTTAGAGACGCGATTAAGATAACACGAGCATTAGGGCGACGATACCTCTGGATCGACTCTATCTGCATCATACAAGGCCCGGACGGTGATTTTGAAAGCGAAGCACGGACTATGGAAGACGTGTACAACGGCGCGTACTGTGTGTTGGCTGCTTGTTGTGCTAAGGACCAGAGTTCAGGTTTCTTGTTGCCTCGAATGGCTCGACTTCAAGTGACGCTGGATCCACAGCATGATAATTACGGTGCCATTTACGTGTGCCAGAGAATTGAGAACTTCGACCAGCATGTTCTTCACGGTGATCTCGCGAAGCGCGGCTGGGTTCTTCAAGAGCACGCACTTGCCCGCCGAACAATCTTCTTCACTGAGTATCAAACATACTGGGAGTGCGGTCACGGTGTACGTTGTGAGACGATGGCGACTTTAGCCAAGTGAGTTGCCCGAAATCTGTTCACCCCTCATACATGCAACTGACATCGATGATAGCGATCATGCTTCTCTGCTCGGGGACCCTGACTTTCCTAAGCGTTTGGAACCCGCCGAACATGGCGAATTCGTCGTACGACTCCAGGAACTACTGAGGCAATACTCGCGGCTGGGCTTGTCGAAAGACCATGATCGTTCCACAGCAATCTCTGGTCTTCAGCAACGCCTTATGCGAGTGATGAACCTACAAGGCGGATATGGAACATTCGATAGTAGTGTCAACCCAGGTCTGCTTCGGCGCAGTCTTCTCTGGCATCGGTCCTTGGAAGTGAGCAGCCTAGCCACGATCACGTACCCAAAGCATTACGAAGTACCCTCCTGGTCTTGGATGTCGTGCTCTGGACCCATAGACTACTTTCCATTGACATTTTACGGCTTCGATTGGCAAGATCTGAACCTGACTTGGTCGGACACAAAGGTTGCAGATGGAAAGACGCGTCTCGGCGCTACAGTGCAGAATCTGGATCTGACTGCAGCTAACCCCTTCGAAGCAGACATCATCTTCGACATTCCTGCCAAGGTAGACGAGCAGAAGATTATGGCAGTGGTTCTGGGCGTGGAGAAGGGCGAGGCCGCACCAGAAGACAAGACACACTATATCCTAGTCGTGACTTCGAAAGAAGCCTGGGGTCACTCGTTATACGGGCGGGTCGGCGCGGGTCACGTCCCTGGAAGATGCTTAGTGGGACAGCCTGATGATTGTTTGCTCATCTAATGACTGGATGTTTGTGGTATTCATAGCTACTCTTTCCATCAGTACATCTCATTCAAATCCAGACCGCGTCTACATCTCAGAGGCTTTGCTGATGTATCAAATGATACTGCCGTCGCGTAAGGGGTGATTGTATCAGTAGAATAGTAGATGACGTGTTCAAAAGTGAGATTTGGAGAGAAGCCAAGAAACCCCCATGAAAGGGGCTAGCTCAAGGACTGTATAGCATCTTTTGGTACATATGTGGATGAGCCAATGACAGGTATCTGGAATGCAGGGCCACTTGAGCGATGCGTCTTTCACAACTCTGCGGTGATCAAAATTTGAAAAGCGCTTCGTCGTCGAAGCAAGACTTCACAGGATCACGCTTCGCTTTCGGTCGGCGGAGCCAGGATGCGCGAGGAGGCAGCGCAAGGTGGCGGTGCAATGCGGTCCTACGCGCGGCACGTCCTTGGAAGCATTCAGCAACGGGGCGAACCTTTGAGAATTGAGCCACAGTCAGCAACTTCTGCCAAACTCACGCGCATGACTATTTTGCATAGTGCGATATACAATCAAGGTTCTGCGTACCCGGTGGAAATGCACACATACCTACAAACCTTGGAAGCGATCGATATCTCGGCCAGAGCCAGAACGCACCCATCAGGGTCATATTCGCGCTGTTAGAGCTGAGCCATGAGAACTCATAGATACTGTACGAGTGATGTTTTTTGCATTCATCGCTTTGCTGTCGCAATGCAATGTAGGTCATGATGAGTGCGGGTCGCCTCAGCCTGCCCCCGGCACCTAGTTCGGTCAAATAAGTGTGGCCAACTGGCTCGTCGGACGCGGGATGTATGAACCTCATGGCTCACCGATTGACACGCATATGGGTAGGACGATTGACTCGGTGTGACATGGAATGCATGTGGCGTTCGGCCTACGCATGATCGATAAACCCCTGTCCAGCCGCCTGGTGCCCGTGTAAGGCTAAAAATCTCCCAAACCGGGATCATTCATAGCGACGGCCTTACGACAAAGATGTCCAAGATGTGGAAAGGTAGGCATTACTACAATATTTTGTGGTTCTGACTATGGACAAAGCCGACGTGCGTAAAAAGCTTAAGGTCGGAGTATGTGGCTATCTTGACATGAGGATGCGTATGGCTGAATAGCCTAGAACTGGTTCTCCGACATGATGAATGTAGCAACGAAGGATACACTGCCTCTTTCGCTCACACTGCGGCTAGAGCCGCTAGGTCCTCGTTGGTGCTGGTCATTGGAACTTTCGAGGTCCTCAGCCTGGTAGTAATGATGATTGGCCGCGTGAACATCCTTAGCCGGCCTGACTAGTCGGCCGATACAATTGTAGTGCGCAGGCTTTCTTGTAAATGAGCATACGCTGATATCCAGGGATCCTTTTGCGTGCTAGTAGGCGCACATGGGGGTGCGTCAGGGAGGGCATCCAGTGCAGTCCGAGCGCCAGTGAAGTGAAGGTCACATCCTTCTTCGAAGGCTTTCGAGCATGTTTTCTGACACACCTTCCGCAAAACGTAAAGATAGAGCCACAAGCCTACACTGTGCCCAGTCGTCATTGGCAGTAGTCGATCTCCAAATTCCACGATACCTGATTCCACACACCCATATTTTTCCATCGCTGGAATTCATCCGCAGTAATGCCTACTATGTCCAGCGAATCCATCATCGCAATCGTTACTCTTCTAGCAACATGCCCCCCCTCTTTGCTCCTTCTCTGGCATCTACTCAGGCGCAAGGACCTCGAAGCCCGTCGTGTATCGAATGGTTCGTGATCATAGTCGACCATGAGGCATGTTCGTCGCTAACTTCGTGCCAGACGTGGAACTCAGCTCACGCTCTGCTATCAACCGTCAGATCGTGAAGCAGGTCAAGGATGCCATCATCCGACCTCTTGTTGCGCATACGGTCCGAAGATGAGTACCGCACCCTCGGCAGGCGTGAGCCTTGACATTAGCGTAAGTTATGTCTTCCCCAAGTTGCGCCCTTGCACGGCAGCACGGTAAACTAACACGCGTTGCAGAACGCGACCCAGGCGCATAGTGAAATCGAGTGCTTCAAAGTATCTCTTATTGTAGACAAAGTAGATAGAATGACATTGCGTCGAAATTCCCAAAGCTCAGACTGTGCGAAGCGTATCCGTGACTGTTTGTCGCGCAATCATGTAGGGGCTGCATCACCTGCATCCCGACCACTTCCGCACCTAGAAACTCCAGCGAACAACACCACGGCGATAAAAGTGGGAAGACAGTCCCGTGTTGGTGATTAGCCTGAGCTAAACGGAGCTGTAGTATGAGTTCGAGGCATACCCTATTTATGCTTTGTTGTTGATTGCGCCAGAATGCCACTCGGGGGCTCCGTTTGCATTTTTACTAGTGGTTGGAGCGAGGAACTTGGCACAAAAAACGGGCAGCATGTCAACATTGAAACACAGCGCAGACGTCCATCGATGACATCAAAACTCAATATGCCTGAATCATCAGCGAATCGTTCCATGTGAATATTGATTGCAATGTTATCGTGTTGTCTTTGTGACGCAATGGTATGCGATGTAGGTGAGGAGTAGTGCGGGCTACCACCTTATACTTCAGCGAGCCATGCATTTGTCGGGAGAGTCGGGCGGGTCGACACGTGACGTCTTCCTCACGCGCCAAGAGCCATCAGTTGCACGTGACACATGCGGGACACTGGCGCCAAGGCCTGGGACCAACATCGGTAGCGATGGACAGCGCGCGCATTAAAGAAGCTAGCAATTGTAACGACCCCATATATCCTTCCTGAAGAAAAAGACATGCTTCATGAGCATGTGGAAATGATCCCGCCACGCCATAGTTGATTGTACCTAGGTAAGTTCGTGTACCTAGGTATCTACGCCAAAAGACCACACCCCAACCTCACAAAGACATTCTTTCACCTAACACTCCACCACTTCTTCTCTCCACCGCCGTCGCCCCTTCCCCGTGTGCTATCGTCACTCCCCTCACTCCCCTCACTCCCCTCACTACCCTCCTCCACATCCTCACCAACAACAACCAACTCATCACTAATACCAAACTCATCACCTCCAACACATATCCACCTCTCCTGCACCCCAACCTTCCGCCCATTTCCATGCCAAAACGGCTTCTCTTTCCTCTTCTCCCCCTTGCCTTCTCCTTCAGTCCCGTTGATGCTGTCCACGTCTTCGGTGCCGCTGCTCGGACGAATCCAAGGCCCAGTCACACCAAACATCTCGGCTGCTTGACGGATGCCTTCGTCACGGTAGCCATACCATTCCCGTCCCTCTTCTATGATCGTGCACGTGGGATGTCGCGGCTCTGTTGATCGACTTGTTGCTGTGCTTCCCCCTGATACCTTCGAAATCCTGCGTTGCCGCTGTTCCAAGACAAACTCAGGTAGGGGTGTGGCGAAGATGGAGATGTCGTTTTGGGGTTTGCAGACTACATCCCCACTCCCCCCTCCACACGCCTCCTTACGCGGTAGGCAGGAGACCACCGCCATACCCTCCCATGAAGATATGTTCGATGGATGTTTTTGGTCGCCAAATACAAAGTCGAACATATCATCTTCAGATGACTCCTCCGCAAGAGGGAGGTTGGCGTAGATGGAGGCGCTGCGGCCGCGCCAGCAGTGGGATGTTGCTGTTGAGCCCATGGGTACGTTGGAGTGGGTGGTGGTGGGAATGTGTGCGTGTGTGGTGGTGGTTTTGTATAGTCCAGGGGTTCTGGATGGGTGGGTAGATGGGGGTTTTTGTGTGAATGTAGATGTGAAAGTAGATGTGTTTTGGGATGGATGATGTGAACTTGTGCATTCTTCCCTCTAGTTTTATATGAATCTGAAATTGATGAAAAGTTATCGTTTGAAGCATACCATGGTTCTGCGACGAAAGAGGGTGGATACAAAGTAATAACAAGACCACTCACGGTTATTCCAAACATCACCCACACAAAGAAGATACTCCCCGTTCCATCAAGTCAGCGTCCTTGCAATCCTCATTTTCAACTTCGTACGACAGTTCACCCTACCCGCGCCCCACACAACCAACAACAACAAGACACATGCAGTTAAAAAAAATAGTATTCCACTTTCACATCCCACTCTTCTTCCCATCCACCTCTTACTAGATCCCACTAAAGAAGACTGATATCTCGCTTTTGACTTTTCCCCCGATGGAAACCAAGTTGCATGCGTGCAACCAATCAAGAATATGCTAAGCTAACAAGAAAAACGCCGGTACCGACCCGACCCAAGAATATACACAACGAATGAAGTTACACAGGAATCAAACAAACTCTGACAAAGGGGAACAAGTCTTAACGACCTGATCGCTCCTTAGTTTGCTTTCTGCGGTCCTTGATAGTTTCTGCGATTACGTTAGCACCAGTCACCACGCCACGAAGTTCGATATCACTTACTCTCGTCGTAAATCATAAACTCGTGCAGCGCACTTCCGGCCGGCACCATAGGTAGCACGGGCACTTTCTGGTCAGTAACAACCTCCAGCAGAGCCGGGCCATCGCTCTCCAACAGCCACTTGAGGCTGTCCTCGAGCTCCTCAGGCTTGATGCAGCGCTTAGCCTGTACACCCATAGCATCACCGAGCTTAACGAAATCGGCATTGCGCTGGTGGGTATGCGCGAAGCGATCGGTGTAGAAGAGGGTTTGCCATTGTGTGACCATGCCCTGCTCCTCGTTGTTGAGAATGATGATCTTGACGCCAATGTTGAACTCGGCGGCGGTGGAGAGTTCAGTGAGCGTCATGCTGAAGGAGGAGTCGCCGTCGATGTCGATAACGGTGCATTCTGGGCGCGCAACCTTGGCGCCGATGGCGGCGGGGAGACCGTAGCCCATGGTTCCTAGACCGCCGGATGTGATCATGGTGCGTGGGTATCGCCAGCGGTAGTGCTGGGCGCACCACATTTGATGTTGGCCGACACCGGTGGTGAGAATGGTCTCCTCCTTGCGGTGGGCTGTGAGATCGGACAGCT